GTGAATTTCACGCCGGCACCCGCGCTCCCTGCCTACCTGCCCCGGAGCAAACACACTCTGCAGGTGTTAGACCCTTCAGGCTGGGGAGGAGGGGCGCGGCGGGAGGGGCGGAGCACTGAGCCTTGGTGGGCGTGGCCTTCCTGTGAGGGGCGTGACGCTGAGGTGGGAGAGGCGGGGCGCTGAGCCTTGGTGGGCGGGAAGCTGAGGCGGGAGTGGCAGGGCCTGTCTAGGAAGCACGGCGGGGAGCCTTGGTGAGGGAGGCTGGCCTGGGAGGGGCGGGTGCTGAGTCTTGGTGGGCGGGGCCAGTCTGGGAGGGGCGGGTGCTGAGCAGGGAGGGGCGGGGCCTGGGAAGTCAGGAGCCGAAACTGTGGACGGGTGGGGCGGGGCCTGGCTGGGGTGCAGTGAGCTGAGTCTGCCCCGGACAGATGCGCGGAGCCGGCTAGGGTACTGGCTGAACGGGCAGGGCCAGATTCTAGGGAGGAGGAGGGGAGGAAATGCAGGGTTCGGAATCAAGATCCGAAAGCCTTTCCAGACCCCGCAACCCAGATACAAGGCCTTTCGCGACGCGGGGGTGAACCAAGCCCTCTTCTACTAGAAGCTTCTGCCGTGCATCTGGGCTTCATTATCGCCTTCGAGGTAGGCTCAGCCATCTGTCTCGGACAGACGTGGTTCCAAGTTCAGGCTCTGCCGCCAACCGGCTGGAAATGGGGATATATTATATAATAGGATCTACTTTATAGGGTCGTTATGAAGGTTCGGTGTCAAGCATTTGCACTATGTCTGGCATGTTGTGCTCAATGAATTAATATCACAAATAATAATAACATTATTTCTTGGCAAGAGAAAGGAGAAAGGAGAGGAAGCACTCGCCCACCAGTTTTGCTCTTTTACAAGCCCTGCCCCTGACGGGGTTCCTACTGTTAAGGGTTCGAATCATAGCTCTGTGTCTTTGGGCAAATGACAACCCCTTTCTGCTTCTGTTTCTTCACTTGTGGAGTAGAAATTACCCCCAGCTCATAGAGTTGTTGTAAGGATTAAATTAATTAATATCCGGAAAACCTTCAGATTAGGGTTTGGCGCAGGGTAAGTGCTCCATGAGTTAAGATCGCTAAGGCAATCATTCTCTCTTTTTGGCCCCCTTCTCCCCAGCATGTAGTGTTCTTCTTCTAGTGCCCCAACTCCCGGCTCGTGCCCGATGTGCCAGCCCTGGCTACCAAGATAACGCGCGAGGGCTACCTGGCCAAGCAGGCGGTGGCAGACAACGGGGACGCGCTGCCTTCAGTCTGCAAGGCAGGCTGACCCCGGCCCCACCCACACCATAATGACTATAATGACCACGCCCCTTGGCCTGCCCTCAAGCCTTAGCTCAGCCTTCTCAAGTTCCGCTCTCTCTAGCCACGCCCCATTATTTGGCCTCGCCCTTTGGAGGGACTGGCTGGACTCCCTGTAGTTTCCGCCTGTTCCCGCCCATCATTAAGCTCCGCCCCCTCCACGCCCCCTTTTCTACTTTATCCGCAAACTGGGGTTGGGGGCTGTTCTCTGGAGCGCCAGCCTGCTCAACCTGACCAAGCTGTGCTCTATGTCCGCCGTCCCCGAAGTCCAGGACGCAGGGGCGAGTGAGGCAGGGCTGCCCTTCCGGGACCCTAGGTTCCCCAGGATACTCCTCCTATTGGGGTCCTCTGGCTTCCAGTTACGCATCTGGGCAGTGTCTCAAGGCCTGAGGATTGGAGTTCCCTGGAGACCTCCAGACCTGCATTGCTACCCTTCCGTGTTCCTTGCCTCCTGGCCTCTGTACAATGCCGACAATAAACCTGTCTCTGCCCCAGCCTGCCACCTCTCCACGGCCACCTGGTCCCCACCCACACGGTGCAGTGTCTACTCACTATGTGGCAATGCTCTAGGGAGTCGAAGTGAACATGGGGGAGCAGGGGAACCCTAATCACTCTGAACTTAATGGCCATCGGTTGGCAGCTAAGGAAAATACTTTGGGGCCGGGCGCGGTGGCTCACGCCTGTAATCCCAGCACTTTGGGAGGCCCAGGTGGGTGGATCACCTGAGGTCAGGAGTTCGAGACCAGCTAAACCAACATGGAGAAACCCCATCTCTACTAAAAATACAAAACTGGCCAGGGGTGGTGGCGCATGCCTATAATCCCAGCTACTCGGGAGGCTGAGGCAGGAGAATCACTTGAACCTGGGAGGCAGAGTTTACGGTGAGCCGAGATAGCGCCATTGCACTCCAGCCTGGGCAACAAGAGAAAAACCCTGTCTCAAAAATAAATAAATAAATAAATAAAATACTTTGGGGGACTAGGGCACGGGCCATGAAACCTCTGCTGTGTATTCCAAGCCCGTAGTGTATGAATAATAAGATCAATAAGAGTTCAGTTAGCCGAGACACCCCCTATTAGACTTTCACACACTTTTCACCATGAGACCCTCCTAAAAGCCTGGTGAGGCAGTACCAGGCAGTGGTGAAGGACTCAGGTTGGTGGTGTGGTCAGACAGACCTGGGTTTCTTTTCTTTTTTTTTTAGATGGAGTCTTGCTCTGTCACCCAGGCCGGAGTGCAGTGGTGTGACCTCAACTCACTGCAGCCTCTGCCTCCCTGCCTCCCGGGTTCAAGCGATTCTCCTGCCTCAGCCTTCCAAGTAGCTGGGATTACAGGTGTACGCCACCACGCTCAGTCGATTTTTGTATTTTTAGTAGAGACAGAGTTTCACCATATTGGCCAGGCTGGTCTCAAACTCCTGACCTTGTGATCCGCTGGCCTTGGCCTCCCAAAGTGCTGGGATTACAGGCGTGAGCCAATGCGCCCAGACTATTTTTGTATTTTTAGTTGAGACAGGTTTCACCGTGTTGGCCAGGCTGGTCTAGAACTCCTGACATCAGGGGATCCACCCACTTCGGCCTCCTAAAGTGCTGGGATTACAGGCGTGAGCCACCGTGCCCGGCCAGACCTGGGTTTCAATACTAGTCCTGCCCCTTATTAGCTGTGTGACCCTGGGCAAGTTATTTAATCTCTTGAACCTCAATGTCATCTGTAAAATAGGGACTTCATAGAACTGATGAGAGATTTCAAAGGGATAATGCTCATGACTTAACTTGTACAAGCCTTTTAAACAGCTGGCCCCCCATATCCTCAGGTTCTGCATCCTTGGATTCAACCAACCATGCATGGAAAATGAAAATAAAAACAAAAAATAACGACGACAAAAATAATGCAAATAAAAAACATTACAGGATAACAACTATTTACATAGCATTTACACTGTATTAAGGTGTTATAAGTAATATAGAATTGATTTAAACTGTACTGGAGGGCCAGGCATGGTGGCTCACGTCTATAATCCCAGTAATTTGGGAGGCCAAGGCTGGTGGATCGCCTGAGCCTAGGAGTTTGAGACCAGGCTGGACAACCTGGTGAGATCCCATCTCTACAAAAAATACAAAAATTAGTCAGGTGTGGTGGTGCATGGCAGCGGTCCCAGTTACTCAGGAGGCTTAGGTGGGCAAATTACCCAAGCCCAGGAGGTTGACGAGCCTGCAAGTGAGCCCTGTAATTGCACCACTGCACTCCAGCATGGATGACAGAGTGAGACCCTCTCACTTGAGTACATTTTTTTTTTTTGACAATAAATACATAAAATAGACGGGATACGGTGGCTCACGTCTGTAATTCCAGCACTTTGGGAAGTTGAGGTGGGTGGATCATTTAAGGTCAGGAGTTCAAACCCAGCCTGGCCAACATGGTGAAACCTTGTCTTGACTAGAAATTAAAAAAAAGTAGTAGGGTGTGGTGGCATGCACCTGTAATCCCAGTGACTGGGGAGGCTGAGGCAGAAGAATTGCTTGAACCTGGGAGGCAAAGGTTGCGGTGAGCTGAGATCCATCCCGCCACTTGCACCACCACGCCTGGGTGACAGAGCGAGACTGCATCTCAAAAATAAATAAATAAATAAATAAATAAATAAATAAATAAATAAATAAATAAATTTTACTGGAGGATGTACAAAGGTTTTAGCAAACACTACGACATTTTATATAAGGGACTTGAGCAGCCATGGATTTTGGTATGGGAGGGTTCTAGAACCAATTCCCCACAGATTCTGGGTACCAAGGGACAACTGTACTCACCTAAGTGGTAGCAGTAACAGTATCTACCTGACAGGGTCATGGTGGAGGTTAAATGAGTAGATACATGCGAAGTGCTCAGGACAGTGCCTGGCACTTAGTAGGTGAACAATAAGTTCGCCCCATGGGTATTAGTATGTGTACACATCTGCACATTAATATTAAGTGCCTGGCAATTGCTGGAAGCTCAAACAGATGGCAGGTAATATTAGGGGAAAATGCAGCTTCCCCTTCCATAGGGTTGGGAAGATTGCATGCTGGGCATACAGCATGCCCTTCTTACTGGAGGCGGTTTGACTTGGCTATTTGATTTGGTTTATTGAGGGCTCCATTGGTATAGTCTGGGAAGGCCTCATGGTGGAGGTGGCCACTGGAGATGGTGGGGCAGGTCATTCCAGCCAGTGGGAAAGGATGGGCCATTTGCAAGGAGTGGCTGTACTAGATGAGGAGAGGCTGTCCAGGATGATGCCAGATGTCACATCACCAACTTTCAGGATTGATTTCTGTCTCCCAACCATAGGGATGAGTGTTCCCATTTGATAGATGCAGTAATAGGATCAGAGAAGGTCATCAGGGTTCTCAGGGTCCCTAAGGAGTCCAAGGCTTGGGAGGCTCTCTGTGAAGCTCCCAGGATGCTCCCCAGCTCCAAGAAGTCCCCTGAACACGCCCATGTTTGGGAAGCTCCAGAAGAGTGGTGACCTGTCTCCTAGGAGCAGAAGCAGTGCCTCCCCCATCTTGAGGACCTGGGTGTAGGGTCCTTTAGAGCTTCACTTGGGCATAGGACTCCCATTGTTCCAGCCCCCCTCTTGTACCCCAGACTAGCCAAACCGGTTCTGGGGAAGGGGGGCGGGGAGCAGGCACGTTGAGACAGCCGCCTGCCTCTCTCTGCAAGGTTCCCTCCTCCTTCACCTCCCCCTCCCTGCCCCACACAATACCCAGGAGCTTGCCTTGCTCGGCTCTGGGGCCATGCTGACATGCTGACATCGCCCCCTGAGGACTTGGCCGCAGCCCCAGAGCCCCCAGGGTGTCCCAGAGCCCTGGACTGTGCTGGCAGCAGGACGGAGCTCCCTGGCTGAGGTAGGGCCCCACCTGGGTGCCAGCAGTCCCATTCTCTTCCCGCCAGTTTTCCCCGCTGAGTGAGCCCTTTGTGCTGCCTGCCTGGTCTCTGATCCTGGCCCTGACCCACTATGGCCTTCTGGGGCTCTGTGAACCACTTGGCCTGGTTCCCCTTTCCAGCCATGACTTCCCACTTGGCTTTATTCCTTAAAGGGCAGAGAGGCCCTGGCAAGGTCTCCACTCTTCTGGGCAGCAGGGCAAGGGGCACCCGGGAGGGGGCAGGGAAAAGCTAGGTACAGGAGGCCAGAAACGCTTTTTCTGACCATGGTAGTGTCCAGGGACTCTCTGGCAGCCTTGCTAAATGGGCCCATTGCCCTCTGCAATTAGCAGCGCCCACCAAGGGTACTTTCCTCGGCCCCTGCCCATCCTTCTTGGCGCAGATGTATTTATGATGAGACATGTTTCTCAGAGAGGGCATTGGGTGGTGGTGCGGTCTCTTAGGAACCACTTTACAGATGGGAATACTGAGGCCAAGGGACGGGCTATGACTTGCCTAAAGCCACACAGCTGGTCAGTGTCAACACTGGGCCTAGAAGCTTGGGCGGGGGGTTATTCTCTTTGGGCTCCAGAATGGCCCTTGCCTAGTAGACACTAGAGTCTCTATCCTGTGATTGTGCCTCAGGAAGGTAATGTCTCTGCTGTCTGGGGCCAGTTCTCTTTCTGAGGTTTTTGTTTGTTCTTTTTTTTTAACAGAGATGCGCTACACACAATATGAACACAGCTTGTCCCTCTTAGCTCCCCAGCATTGAGGTTGGGTGGGCCAAACCCCTGGAGGGCCACAGGGCTGGCATCCCAGCTAGATGGGTCATTCTTATTACCCCTTGTCCTGAGCATAGGTGGAGGCTGACACACTCCTGACTTCCCCGCTAGGGACCCGCCTCCAGCTTCATCTCCCCGGGAAGCCTTCTATGTCCCCTCCCCACATTCACCTAGCCTTCTCCTCTGCGGTCTTAACTGGCGGTACCCCTGCTGCAAAGCCTCAATGTTTTGCCGACTTATCCCTGCGAATGATGGGAGAGAGGATCCCTCCCTGCCCTCCAGGGGCTTCCAGAACCCAAGTGCTAGAATCTCCCAGCATACCAGGGGGCAGGGGGCATGTGTACATGCCTGCACATGTGTGCCCCCAGAAGCAAGCAGGACTTCTGTGTCGAGGACTCCTGATTCCTGCAGAGAAAGAGACCTGTCTGCGGGCAGGGGCCTCCTTCCACACACTCCTACAATGTAATGTGTGTCTCAGCCTCGCTCCTTCATCTTCCCCATCTGTGTGAAGGCCTGAGCCGCATTCTGTCTAGAGAAAGACTGATGGTAATAAAAATACTATCCTGTTTGTCAGATAAGGACACAGTCTCAGGGAGACTTGCTCAGATGGGCACTCTTCAGGCTAGAGGGACAGAGGCTGACGGTACAAGCCAGAGTGGCCACTATAGAGACGGTCCCTTTGGAGCAGCCAGTCCTCTTCTTCCCACCCTCCCAGGCAGCGGGGTGAAGGGAGCGGGAGGAAGCAGTTGAGAAGCTGTGCAGAGAGACTGGGGCCTGCCACAGACCCAGCTATCTTTCACTGGGTCCTCTTCTCCCTCCCTGTCTCCAACAGTGACTGACACTGTCACTGCTCAGGCCAAGGCTTTCTCTCAAAGTGCACTAGGTATTTCAGCCAGGGAGCAGTTACCTATTACCTCCTCCAGGAAGTCTTCCTGGAATACCCAGGTTGAGTTGAGCCCAGCACCCTCCTCTGATGGTTCCTCTGGCTTGGCTCTTGCCAACCTGGATTGTAACTGTTTTCGTTTTTGGCTCTCCCACTAGACTGGCAGCCCATGGGCATGAAATGTTTGTCCATCTGTCTCCCTGGGTTTTCTGGGCTTCATCTGTGTCTCTGAGGATCTGGTTGGCCTGAAATTGTCAGTGTCTCTGTCTCCATCTCTGGGTCCCTGAATGTCTCAGCATCTGTGGTTTTTCTGTTTTTGAATGTCTTGGGGTCTTGGTTTCTGAGTTACTGGCTAAGTGGTCTCTGTTTCTCTAGGTCTCTCTCAGTCTTCATCTCCTGGCTCTCCTGGTCCTGCCAGGCTGGGCACTGCCCCTTTGGCCTGAGGGGGCCTCTGGGGGGTCCTGGCTGCCCGGCCTGCCCACAGCGAGGCCAGGCTAGGGTAGGCCCCCGCCCAGCCCGCTGCCTGCTCCCTCCCTCCCTCCCTGCTTGCCTCACCACAGGGTTTGATGAATCAAACTCTTTGTCTGGGTGGGATCTCCCCCAGCCAGCTGGGCAGAGAGAGGGCTTCCCCTGCCGGAACAGCCAAACAGCATCAGCAGCGGGCCTGGGCCCGGAGAGGTGAGGGGCTGCAGGAGGGAGGCTGGCAGAAGGCCACAGGGCAAGAGCTGCCGGGGCTTGAGCCTCTCAGATCATCAGGTCTGTCCCGATCGAAGGGCTGGCTCCCCGGGGATAACTTCCTGCCCAGAAAGGACCCATCCAGCCTGGCCTACCCAGGGGCTGGAAGCTGGGGTGGGGAACAGCCCTTCTTTCACTCCAAACTGGGGGGGTTGGGGCACCTCCCTGAACTTCAGGAGGGCCCCTGCCTGATCTGGGTGATGGCCCGCCTGCCAGTCCATGACCCTCCCAGCCAACTTGGCATGGGTGTGGGCACCACTCAGCGCTGAAGGCCGCAACTCTGGGCAAGGGTCGGGGGGATGGGGGGAGAAATATCAAAGCAAGGACCTGTGGGCTGGTGTGTGTCTGCATCCTGGGGTGTGCGTGTGAAGGGGACAGGAGGATGAGAAATCTTGGGTGCCTGTGTAAGTATCGGATGGGTCAGTGTGTTTGTGAGGAATTTGTTAATGTATATGGTTGTGTAAAAATGTGTGTGTCTGTGACTGTGTGAGCCTGAGTTTGAAATGTTTGTATCTATGAAAGTGCACATGTCATTCTATACTTGGGAGAAAATGTAGTGTGGATGTATATGCTGGGACATGGATTTGTGTGACGATGTATGTATTTGCATGTCTGGTGACAGGTCGGTGTGTGTTAGAGAAGGTACAAGGTGGTTAAAATCACCGATTTGAAAGCTAGAATGGCCAGGTTAGAATCCTGGCTCCACTATTTACCAAATAACCTCTCTGTGCCTCACTTTCCTCACCTATAAAATGGGGATAATAAGAGCATCAACTCACAGGGCTGTTGTGAGGATTAAATGAGATAATATGTGTAAAGTACTCAGTCTATCATTCAGGCAATGCCAAGCAAGTATCAGCTATTTCTATATAATTAGACATGTGAGTGCGTTTGTGGAGATGTGTGCACATGAGTGTACACAGGGGTTTGTCCAGGCCTCCAGGGGTGGTGGCTTACTGGCCAGCCCTGCTGTCCTCTGTCTAGATCTGATATCTTCTCTTTTGCAGGGCCAGGTGGTGGCAGAGCAAAAGAGGAATGGACTGTGGGCCACCTGCTACCCTCCAGCCCCACCTTACTGGGCCACCTGGCACTGCCCGCTGCCCTGTAGCAGTGTGCCAGCAGGAAAGCCTGTCCTTTGCAGAGCTGCCCGCCCTGAAGCCCCCGAGCCCAGTCTGTCTGAACCTTTTCCCTGTTGCCCCCGAGGAGCTTCGGGCTCCTGGCAGCCGCTGGTCCCTGGGGACCCCTGCCCCTCTCCAAGGGGTGCTATGGCCATCATCCCCAGGAAGCTCAGATACAGAGATAACTGGCGGGGGGATGCGGCCCAGCAGGGCTGGCAGCTGGCCACACTGTCCTGGTGCCCAACCCCCAGCTCTGGAGGGACCCTGGAGTCCCCAGCACACACAGCCACAGCGCCGGGCCAGCCACGGCTCAGAAAAGAAGTCTGCCTGTGAGTCACCCTTGGGGAGGCAGGTGTGGGTGCCACAGTGGGGGGGGATAGGGGAGGGGCTGGGCAGTTCCTTAACCTCTATGTCCCAAGGTTCCCCCAAAAGTCAGGACAAGTGGTAGATTAGTGATAAGGAAACCAGCAGGACTCAGGGAAGGCAAATAACTTGTCCAAGGTTATGCAGTGAGTCACCATTGCCTGGTCCCTCTGCCTACTGCAGTCAGGCCCTGTGCTGTCCTTACCCCTCTTGTGGACCCCAGGGCTCTGGGGACCAGAGGCTAGCAGAAACACAGGCCCTTCCTTTGGGCATGGCGCCTGAACCTCCCCAGGTGCTCAGGGCCAGGCTGGGGGAGACCCCAGCCTGTGCTCTCACACCTTGCCCCCCAACCCTAGGGCGCAAGATGCGGGTGTACCAGCGTGAAGAGGTCCCCGGCTGTCCCGAGGCCCACGCTGTCTTCCTAGAGCCTGGCCAGGTAGTGCAAGAGCAGGCCCAGAGCACAGAGGAGCCCAGGCCGCTGGAGCTGACTGGATCCACCCGAGTGAGTCTCGAGGGTCCTGAGCGGAGGCGCTTCTCGGCTTCCGAGCTGATGACCCGGCTGCACTCTTCTCTGCGCCTGGGGCGGAATTCAGCAGCCCGGGCACCCATCTCTGGGTCAGGCACCGGAGCAGCCCGGGAAGGTACCAGCTCCTCCCATGGGCCCTGAGGGCAGCTAGATGCCGGGTGGGGGTGGGGGATGCCCACTCACCGGCCGCCTGAGGCCGTCAGGGTGCCCGGTCCGGGGCCCAGGCCCCAGGCCCTCTCTGGACCCCCCACCCTCAGTTCTTGCCCTCTCCAGGGAAAGCATCGTCTCGAAGTGTAGAGACGACGGGACCGGGTGTCGGGACCGGGTGTAGGGACCGGGTGTCGCGGCCAGCCCCTGGTGACTCACGAGAGGGCCATGGCGATTGGTCCGAGCCCAGGTACCACCTCCCGTTTGGGCTTGGGTCCGAGACAGGGTGCAGGCGAAGAAGGGCCGTGACGCTCTCTCTTTCCTAGGCTAGACACGCAGGAAGAGCCTCCTTTGGGGTCCAGGAGCACCAACGAGCGGCGCCAGTCTCGATTCCTCCTTAACTGTACGTGGGAGGGGATCCCTGGGAGGAGGTAACGGAGGAAGGGGCTGCGGTGTGGAACCGGGGAAAAGGGGGTTTAGAGAGTTGAGAGGTAGGGATCGAGTGAGAAACGGAGAATGGAACTATCGGTATCTAGCACGCAGTAGGTGCTCAATTTGTTTATGGTATGAATGAATGAATGAATGAATGAATTCACTATGTCCAGATATCCGAACCGCAGCAAAGGTTAAGTGACGCGGGCTCTTGAGGGAACCCACGGTCTTGCCCGCCCGTCTTTCCCCAGCCGTCCTCTATCAGGAATACAGCGACGTGGCCAGCGCCCGTGAACTGCGGCGGCAGCAGCGCGAGGAGGAGGGCCCGGGGGACGAGGCCGAGGGCGCAGAGGAGGGGCCGGGGCCGCCGCGCGCCAACCTCTCCCCCAGCAGTTCCTTCCGGGCGCAACGCTCGGCGCGAGGCTCCACCTTCTCGCTGTGGCAGGATATCCCCGACGTACGCGGCAGCGGCGTCCTGGCCACACTGAGCCTGCGGGACTGCAAGCTGCAGGAGGTGGGCGCGCGCGGGGACCCGGCGGGGCGGGGGCGGGGGCGGGGGCGGGCCGGGGAGTACGCGGTCCGGGGACTTAGCGGGAACCGGGCCATAGAGGAAGGGGGACACACAAACGGGAGTGCTGGCACCACTGTCCGCGCGGAAGGTTGGCTCTAGGACCTGCCTACACGAGGCCGTCTGGAACCGAGGACAGCAAGCCGCGGAGCGGGAGGCTAGGGTAGCCAGGCTTGGGTGCGGGCAGAGGGCGGAGCCAGCGGAACGAAGCCTAGGATAGGACAGGGCCGGATGAGGGGCGGAGCCATTGGGAGTGCAAAAGCCTGGTGGGCGCGGAACAAGGCGGGGACAGAATCAGGGGCGGGACCTGGGGGCGGGCGGGACCTGCGGGTGGGCGGGACCTGGGGGTGGGCGGGCTCGGGGAAGAATGCGTCGGGACTGGGCTAAGGGGAGTGGCGGGATCTAGGGCAAGCGGGGTTTGCACAATTGCTCGTGGCAGGAGGTGGGTCGCTGGGCCTGCCCGGCGCCAGATTAGGAGTGGGGCTGGAGAAGGGGCGAGGACGCGAGGTGTGGCGGCCTGGGGTCCGGGGATGCGAGGCCAGGGCCTCCGAGGTGAACCGGCCCGGCCCTTTCGACCCCGTGTGCGCCCTCCCTCAGGCCAAGTTTGAGCTGATCACGTCCGAGGCCTCCTACATCCACAGCCTATCGGTGGCTGTGGGCCACTTCTTAGGCTCTGCCGAGCTGAGCGAGTGTCTGGGGGCGCAGGACAAGCAGTGGCTGTTTTCCAAACTGCCCGAGGTCAAGAGCACCAGCGAGAGGTGAAGAAGTGCTCTGGCCTGGCCCAGGGTGGGGACCGAGCCTGTGGTTGGCCGGCTTCCAGATCTGGGATCTCCATCCTGGCTCTGACTCCTCAGGTTCCTGCAGGACCTGGAGCAGCGGCTGGAGGCAGATGTGCTGCGCTTCAGCGTGTGCGACGTGGTGTTGGACCACTGCCCGGCCTTTCGCAGAGTCTACCTGCCCTATGTCACCAACCAGGCCTACCAGGAGCGCACCTACCAGCGCCTGCTGTAGGGCTGGGGGCTCTGAAAGGGGCGGGGGCGTGGAGGGAGTCTCAGGCAGGTGTAGGCACTGAGGACTGGGTGATGCAAGGTGACTCTGGGAGGGAAGGGGTCCGTGAAAGGGTCTCTGTGACCAGGATAAGGTGAGATGCAACCCCAAGGGGCAGTAAGGATGTGCTGAGAAGGTCCCTAAGGGCCCTGTGGATGGCCAGGGTTGTGGATCCCAGGAGTTCAGGCCTACCTGTGATTCCAGAGCCCTTCCCATTTTCCAGCCTGGAGAACCCCAGGTTCCCTGGCATCCTGGCTCGCTTGGAGGAGTCTCCCGTGTGCCAGCGTCTGCCCCTTACCTCCTTCCTCATCCTGCCCTTCCAGAGGATCACCCGCCTCAAGATGTTGGTGGAGGTACCTCGAGGGGACAGGCTGCAGTGAGGGCTGGGTGGGCGGGCCGGGTCTCAGGAGAGTATGAGGCCTGCCTCATTGTGCTGATCCCACCTTCCAGAACATCCTGAAGCGGACAGCACAGGGCTCTGAAGATGAAGACATGGCCACCAAGGCCTTCAACGCGCTCAAGGAGGTGAGCTGGGCAGGGCAGGGGCTGCTTGGCTCCTGGGGCCCCCCTGGGCCCCCCGCGTGTCTCTAAAACAGCCCCCAGCTGTCAGAGTCTCCAGTCCCCAGGCAAGAGTCTGAGGCTGGGCTCTGGGAGCCAGGGCTGAGGGGCTGCAGGTGACCTCCCCACGGCTCCCCCAGCTGGTGCAGGAGTGCAATGCTAGCGTGCAGTCCATGAAGAGGACAGAGGAACTCATCCACCTGAGCAAGAAGATCCACTTCGAGGGCAAGGTGTGTGTCTGCCGCCAGCGGGATGGGCACTCCAAGGGGCAGCTCTTGTTTCTTCCTTGCCCTAGGGGCTTCAGGCCAGTTCATCGCTGCCCACACCCTCCCCTCTGCTATCCTGTGCTCTCTGCCTGGTGCCCCTAGGCCTGACCCATCCTTCTCCATCCCTCTAGATTTTCCCGCTGATCTCTCAGGCCCGCTGGCTGGTTCGGCATGGGGAGTTGGTAGAGCTGGCACCACTGCCTGCAGCACCCCCTGCCAAGCTGAAGCTGTCCAGCAAGGCAGTCTACCTCCACCTCTTCAATGACTGCTTGCTGCTCTCTCGGCGGAAGGAGTGAGTTGGGGCAGTCGGGGGTGGGTAGGTACACTGGAGCCAGGCTCTCTTCCTCCCTACCACTGGGCTTATGACCAGTCCATCCCTGGGCCTGGGAGCCCCTGCCTGTGCCAGGTGGTGCTGCCAGGGCACCTTGAGACTTGGAGGCTCCTGAAGCAAAGGCAGAGATGTGAGACAAGTCCATGTTCCAGAAGGGAGAATCAAGGGCTAGACTGTATGTCAAGGACTTGGAGCTGCTGTGAGCTTCAGCCAGTTAGAGCAGAGACTAAGAGCATGACCCTGGAGTCTCAACTCTGCCCCGAGTCACAGCTATGCCAGAAGCCAACTTTTACTCAGTACCTACTCTGTGCAAGGCATGCTATGTGGACTATTCCCTTTAATCCTCCAAATCCCTCCCTGGGAAATAGGCTTCTCTGTTACTCTCAGATCATGGAGCTAGTAGGTGGGGGAGCCAGGAGGATGCCAGCTCTGTCTGATGGCAGCACCGTGCCTCACTCACAGTGAACGCTCCCTCAGTATTAACTGTGTTTATAAGTGAGGAGTGAGGTAGAAGACTACCTGGATAAGGTGAATGGGATAAAGGATGGACATGTGGGATGGTGGCTCACACCTGTAATCCCAGCACTTTGGGAGGCCAAGGTAGGAGAATCACTTGAGTCCAGGAGTTCAAGACTAGCCTGGGCAACATAGTGAGACCCCATCTCTTAAAAAAAAAAAAAAAAAAAGGATGGACATGTTATGCTGTGAGAAGAATTCATTCCTGATTTGTTTGTCCATTTAGTAAACAGTCACTGAATCTCTGTTCTGTAGCAGGCCAGTGCTAGGGACATAAATATGAATGAGACTTGTTCTCTGCTCACAGGAGCTCTCAGACCAGTGAAAATCCATCCTGATAACCAGATCATCAGGGTTTTGATGGAAGGGTGTACTGCAGTGGTTCCTGGTGTGGGGTGAGAATCAGTAAAGCTTCATAGAGGATGGGACATTTCAGCTGGGTTTTGAAAGATGAGTAGGAGTTTTCCAGGTAGAAAGATAGTTTGAGTGGAGGAGTACAGCAGAGTCGTGGTAGTGTAGATGAGCGGCATGTGTGTTTGGGGAATGATGAAGCCTCATGTGGCTGGATTTGTAAAGGAGAAGGGCAGCAGGGGGAAGTTGGGATGTTGAAGGTCATGGTAGAGAGGCTGGATTTTTTCTGAGGCAGCAGGGAGCGTGGAGAGTTAGGCAGAGGGATGATATTTCGCTCCTGGCCAATTTGGAGGATGAACTGGAAGGGGAGAGGCAGAGGGTCCTGCATTGCTCAGGAGAGGGTAGATGCTCCAGAAGTGGCAGGGTGCTTCAGGAGAAGTGGATTCAAGGGACATTAAGGAGGAAAGACAGGACATAGCTACCAGGTGGGTGTAGAGGGGATGGAAAGGGAAGAGGTGAGCATGACATCTGAGTTTCCTTTTGGGCAAACTGGTGGTGTCTTTCACTGGAATGGAGAACAGTAAAGGGGATCTGGCTTGGAGTGGGAGAAGCTGGGTTCTTTTTTTTTTTTTTGATGCCGAGTTTTGTTGAATGAGTTGACATCCATGGAACCCCCTCCACCCATCCTGCCTACAAGTACTTACTGATCCCAAATTGTGAGTCAGGCAGTATCAGACACTGAGATACAGTGGCAAAGAGATGAGGCTCAGCCCTCATGGGGCTCATATACTGGAAGGGAGACACTCCGCAGGCGAGCTGTCCAGTTGGCTCTGCGGAACAGACGCTTGGGAGAGAGGTTCAGAGAGAGGTCGTGAATCGCTTGAACCTGGGAGGCAGAGGTTGCAGTGAGCCAAGATCATGCCACTGCACTCCATCCTGGGCGACAGAGCGAGACTCTGTCTTAAAACAAAACAAAACAAAAAACCAAATAACAAACAAAACAAAAACAAAAAAAAGAGAAAGAGAGAAAGGTTGAAAGTGTGTTTGGGGCTCAGGGACTGGTCTCCATCACCTCCAGCCTCCCCCAGCAAGCCAGCAGGGAAGAAGCTCTTGGTTCCTTGTGGGGACTTTGCCAGCTGCTAGGAAAGCAGTGCCCTGTCGAGAAGCAGGACCCTGTGAGAACGCTGGCAGGGCAGGCAACCCTTTCTCCCCGCTTCCAGTCAGACCCCACCTGATCCCGAGGCTGGGTGCCTGCAGCCAGGGCCCAGGCCAGGCTGACCTCCCCTCCCCCGGCCCTCCAGGCTAGGGAAGTTTGCTGTTTTCGTCCATGCCAAGATGGCTGAGCTGCAGGTGCGGGACCTGAGCCTGAAGCTGCAGGGCATCCCTGGCCACGTGTTTCTCCTCCAGCTCCTCCACGGGCAGCACATGAAGCACCAGTTCCTGCTGAGGGCCCGGACGGAGTGAGTGGGCCTGGGTACGGGGAGAGAGGAGGCTCTTCCTCCCCATGACGGGCACCCCTGGGACATCCTGGCCTTGTTCCTCCCCAAGTGCTCATCTCTTCCCTGGCTTGGGCAGGACACAGGGGCAGAGGGCAGGGCTGGAGGCCAGAGCAGGAGCGCCTGCCCCACAGGTGGTGTTGGGGGGCTGCCACCTCCTCCTCAGCCTCTGGGCATCTCTTGGATGGAAACCTCCACACCCTGCTGTCTCTGGCTTCAGGACTGTGGCATTAGGCAGGATGGGGGTAGGGCTGGCATCTAGGGGTTCTGGGCCTGTTATGCTCAGAGTTGGGTGGGGCACAGGCTTGGGAACAGGGTTGTGGGGTGCGCCTGGGGTGGGGCAGACATGACTTGGGTCCTGGGCCTGGACATCATGTCTGGCTCCCCCAGCCTTGGTTTCAGCACCCTGCCCTGGGCAACTGCACTTTGCATGTTGTGACAATTGAGCCTCCCCCTTCCCTAGAAGTGAGAAGCAGCGATGGATCTCAGCCTTGTGCCCCTCCAGCCCCCAGGAGGACAAGGAGGTCATCAGTGAGGGGGAAGGTAGCTCATCCCTGCTGCTTACATCCCTGGGCCGGACCCTCGCCCGCCCTCCCCCTCTCCCATCCTGGGTGCTGTGTTGCCGACAGGGCTATGGGGAGACAGATAAACTTCTGGGGCAGTCAGGGGTAGCTCTGAGGAACCTTGAAGGCTGGGCAGAACTTACAGAGCACAGGTGGACTCTGTGTCCACAGGCAGCATCCTGGAGATCACAAAGCCTTCATAGCTTCCCATTTCACCCCTGTGTTACGAGTTAGAAGAGAGGTTCAGAGATAAACGGACTTGTGTAAGTTCACCCAGCCAGTAAGTAGCGGGGCTGAGACCAGAGCCTGGGTCTGTCTCCGTCTTCACGTCAGTTGCAAACAGGACAAGAAGCAGCCGGAGCCAGGGTATGAGGGGTGGTGGGGGTAGTGGTGGCAGCTGAGGGATCTGCTCAGTTGGAATAAAGGTTTCTCCTTTGGGGGTGGCTGATAAGCCAGGGTGCAACCTAATCATAGAGAGCCTCCCTATAGTGGCCCTAGGAAGCTATTGAAGGTTTGTTTAGGTTTTTTTGAGACAGGGTCTTGCTCTGTTGCCCAGGCCGGAGTTCGGTAGTGTGATAATGGATCACTGTAGTCTCAACCTCCTGGGCTCAAGTGATCCTCCTGCCTCCGCCTTTTGAGTAGTTGGGACCACAGGTATGCACTACCACACCTGGATACCACACCTTTATTTTTATTTTTTGTAGAGACAGGCTCTTGCTATGCTGCCCAGGCTGGCCTCAAACTCCTGGACTCAAGCAATGCTTTCCTTTCAGCCACCCAAAGTGCTGGGATTACAGCATGAGCCATCGTGCCTGGCTTATTGGAGGCCTTTTTTTTTTTTTTTTTTTTGATGAAAAGTTTTACTCTGTACCCCAGGCTGGAGTGCAGTGGCGCAATCTCGGCTCAATGCAACCTCCGCCTCCCGGGTTCAAGCGATTCTTATGCCTTAGTCTCCTGAGTAGCTGGGATTACAGGCACTTGCCACCACGCCTGGCTATGTTTTTCTGAGACAGTCTCACCCTGTCGTCCAGGCTGGAGTGCAACGGCACAATCTCAGCTCACTGCAACCTCCTCCTCCCAGGTTCGAACAATTCTTCTGCCTCAGCCTCCCAAGTAGCTGGGATTACAGGCGCCCGCCACTACGCCTAGCTAATTTTTGTATTTTTAGTAGAGGCAGGGTTTTGCCATGTTGACCATGGCTGGTCTTGAACTCCTGGCCTCAGGTGATTCAACTGCCTCAGCCTCCCAAAGTGCTGGGATTACAGGTGTGAGCCATTGCGCCCGGCCTTATTGGAGGCTTTTGAGCAGAGGAGTTTGGGCTGAGCTTTAGGTAGTAAAGGGAAAGAAAGGGCACTCATCCCCCCTGAGCGCCTGCCATAGGCCAGGCCCAGGGCTAGGGGCTTTGTATTTGCATTAAATCTAATTTAATCCTCATGGCAACCCTACCAGGTAGACATTTTTCTTTTTTTTGAGACGGAGTCTCGCTCTGTCGCCCAAGCAGGAGTGCAGTGGCCGGATCTCAGCTCACTGCAAGCTCCGCCGCCCGAGTTTACGCCATTCTCCTGCCTCAGCCTCCCGAGTAGCTGGGACTACAGGCGCCCGCCACCGTGCCCGGCTAGTTTTTTGTATTTTTTAGTAGAGACGGGGTTTCACCGTGTTAGCCAGGATGGTCTTGATCTCCTGACCTCGTGATTCGCCCGTCTCGGCCTCCCAAAGTGCTGGGATTACAGGCTTGAGCCACCGCGCCCGGCCGACATTTTTCATATCTGAGAAAACTGAGGCTCAGAAGGTGAAGTAAATTGGTCACACAGCCAGTAAGTGGCAGAACTGGGATTCAAGCCAGGTCTGGCCCCCCAGTCTGGGGCTTTGGATGGTACCAGCCCACCTGGTCTAATGAAAAGAGCTGAGGACCAGGAAGGGGGTAGACGCTCTGGCTTGAGCTAGGAGTCCCACCTGGCTGGGGTAAGCTCCCCAGCCAGGTGGGTGGGGAGGGGAGGTGGTCAGGGGAGGTCCCTGGGAATTAACATTTGACCCCTGAAGGATGAGGAGAGGTTGTCACGAAACGATCTGGGGAAGAGTATCTGGCAGAAGGAAGAGCCAGTGCGAAGGACCTGGGGAAGGAGCGAGCTTAGAGTGAGGAACAGCGGGGAGGCTGGTGTGACTGGAGCTTTGTGAGCGAGTAGGGAGGGAAAGTGGAGGGGAGAAGATGAGGCTAGCAGGGGGTGATGCCAGACCATGAAGGGCCTTGTAGGGCCTAGGGAGGAGTTTGGATTTTATTCTAAGAGGATTGGGAAGCCGTGGAGGGCTTTCAAGAGGGAAGTGATGCAGCTTGAATCCCAGTTGGGAAGGATGGGCCAAAGGGAGCACCACAGCGATGTTAGGGGCATACTGCAGGGCCGTTACTGTTTTGTGTGAGGTGGCTGGGGGCAGTTGGACATTGGAGTCTGAAGGACAAAAGCAACGTATTGGCTTGAGCTGGGGAGGGGACAACTGTTGGTATAGAGGCAGAAACCGAAGCTGGGAGGGAACGGATTCATCCCACACTTGTATTTAGGGTAGGAGAGGAGATAGGCCAGGGTGGGCAGAGGGTACGCCTGCTTGGATGTGGGCCTGTGGCATGGGAGTGGCAGAGGAATAGCAGCCTCAATGGCCACCTTCCCACCCCCTTACTTCCTCCTACTGCCCCTCCCTGCCCTACCCATGCTCCTTCCCCTGCCATCCTACCCTTGGGACTCCCTGAGCCTCCCTTGGGCTGTCAGATCGCCCCCAGGTTCAGTGTGTTAGGACATACAAGGCACTGCAGCCAGATGAGCTGACCTTGGAGAAGACTGACATCCTGGCAGTGAGGACCTGGACCAGTGACGGTGAGGGGGCCTCCTGGGAAAGTCTCCCTGATGGGGCTCAGGTGGGCAGGAGGTGGCTAGATGACTAAGATATCACACAGAAAGACTCTGCAAGTGTTGATCTGCCACAGCATGTGGGAATCAGGTTAGACAAGAAGAGGAACTTCCTGCTTGTAAAGATATAGGATTGAGAGTGATGGGGGAGAGTGGGAAATACCCTTACAGAGGATGTCAGGAAAAACAGGTCAGAAGTTCATCTACAAGACAGCTCGAGACAGGGTCCTTCCTGGAGCTGAGAGATGCTGAGATGATGTCACCTTGGCCCCAAGGGTGCAAACAAAGCTTGCATCAGGGCTGAGGTGTTCCTTTCCAGGCCTGGCCCTGGTGCCCCTTTGATGCTGTTGTTCTTGGCCTGTGTGTCCCTAGGCTGGCTGGAAGGGGTCCGCCTGGCAGATGGTGAGAAGGGGTGGGTGCCCCAGGCCTACGTGGAAGAGATCAGCAGCCTCAGCGCCCGCCTCCGAAACCTCCGGGAGAATAAGCGAGTCACGAGTGCCACCAGCAAACTGGGGGAGGCCCCTGTGTGAGGGGCAGCCATGGCCTGGGACAGCACCTCCATGCCTGGTTCCCGGATGGTTCTGGAGGGGCCTGTAGTGTCTCCATGCCCCAAGCTGCTCCTGCTGGCACTTCACTTCTGTGGCCTTGGCATTGAGGGCACAGGGTGGGCACAGGAATGGGGGCACCTCCAGAGGGTATCTCTGTCCTCCTGCTCCTCAGTGTCCACACTTCAAGGCCAACGGCAGTTTCTTCCTCTGACGTGGGGACCATAACAGGTGATCACTGATACCTGGCAAGGACTGGGGCCCTCTACTTTCTGTGCCCTCAATCCTGCCTGACTCTTGGTCCTTCTGGCAGGGACCTGGCTGGGGAATGTTCTGGTGCTGGTGGTGCTGGGACCTAAATATATATTTAGATATATCTGGCATCTTGTCTACCACCTCCCCTGGCCAGAGCCCGAGTCGGTGCCTGGTTGCTGTGTCTTGTCTGTAAATAAACTCCTATCATGCCTTTGCTTGGAGTCTGTGATCCATCTGATGCTGCCCCACCCCCACAGTCCTGTTTTCCCAGCTAAAGACCAGGAGAGTCTCTGGCTGGCTCCCAACTAGGGCTTTGCATGTCTCTAGAGTTCACCTCTGAGCTGTAAGAGGGTGACCAGGGGACAGGGGGACGATTGTGTATCAGCTAGGCTGCTTTCGGCTGCAAGTAACAAAATGTCAGATACAAATAGGCTTAAACATGAAAGAGATTTGATTAGTTCTTTATTTGTTTCCTGTGGCTTCTATAACAGAATTACTACAAACTGAGTGACTTAAAGCAACAATATTTTCTTTTGTCACGGTTCTGGAGGCTGAGTCCAAAATCAGCAGCACTGGGCCCGCACCCAGGGGCTGTGCTCCCACCTGGGCTCTCAGCGAGAGTGGTTCCTCGCCTCTTCCTGCTGCTGGTGGCTGCAGTGTTCCTTGACTTGCAACCGGATCACTCTGATCTCTGCCTCTGTGGTCACATTGCCTTCTCTGTGTGTCTATACCAAATTTCCCTCTGCCTCCCTCTGATAAACAAGTGATTGCATTTTCAGGCCCACCCAGATAATCTTCCCATCTCATAATCCTTAATTTAAATCACATCTGCAAAAACCCTCTGCCCACCGTCCCCCGCCCTCCCCCACTTTTTTTTTGTCATATGAGGTGACATTCACAAGTTCCAAGGACTAGGGCATGGATATCTTTTGGGGGCCATTTTTCAGTCCAACCTGGAGTGTAGTGGTGCAATCTTGGCTCACTGCAACCTCCGCCTCCTGGTTCAAGTGATTCTCCTACCTCAGCTACCTGAGTAGCTGGAATTACAGGTGTCTACCACCATGCCCGGCTAATTTTTATATTTTTAGTAGATACGGGGTTTCACCATGTTGGCCAGGCTGGTCTCGAACTCCTGGCCTCAAGTGATCCTCCTGCCTCGGCCTCCCAAAGTTCTGGGATTACAGGCATGAACCACCATGCCCAGCCCCTCCCACAGTTCTTATCACTGAGAAGTATAGAGCCAATGCAGGCTTCAGGCAAGGCTTGATCCAGTGGCTCAGTGATGTCACTGAGGACCCAGATCTTTCCATTTTTCTACTCTGCTGTCCTTGGTGTTGGCTTTATCCTAAGGCTTCCAGGGGCTTCTTCATTCACACCAAACATGGAATAAGAGAATTGTCCTTGTCTCAGGCTTCCCAGAGTCCTGGGAGTCTCTCTGATTGGATCAGCTTGGCTCACATGGCTACCTCTGGGCTGATCATGGCGGTGCAGATGAGCCTAGCCTAAGTCCTGTGCTCTTATCCCTGGAGCCAGGCTGCGGAGTTGTCTTCCCTGGAATCCCATGGATTCCCAAGTGGAACTTGGTGGCTGCTGCAAAGGAGGGGCGGGTGCTGGAGAGGCCAGTGTTTATTACATCACCCAAGAGAGTGGAAGGGCCTGGGAATAATGACCTTGGAGATGTGAACACCTGTGGGGATGGGCGTGTCCTTCAACCCTCCGAAGGAGGTCATGGGGCAAAGAAAACAGGTGAGTCAGGGTGATCCAGAGGGCAAACGTGGGACAGGTGGGGAGAAGCTCAGATTCATGAGGAAGTCTCTGGGAATGACTTTCTATCATGATGTAGTATAGGGACGGAGGAGCATGTGGGCTTAGGAAGCAGACACATTGGAATTTTTTTTTTTTTTTTTTTAGATAGAGTCTTGCTCTGTCACCCAGACTGGAGTGCAGTAAGTAGTGTGATCATGGCTCATTGCAGCCTCCCAGGCTCAAGCAATCCTCCTGCCTCAGCCTCCTGAGTAATGGGAACTACAGGTGCACACCACCCTGTCCAGCTAATTAAAAACTTTTTTTTTTAGATGAAGTTTTGCCATGTGTTGCCCAGGCTGGTCTCAAACTCATGGGCTCAAGTGATCCTCCTGCCTCAGCCTCCCAAAGTGCTGGGAAAACAGGTGTGAGCCACCATGCCCAGCCTTGAATTTTTTTTTTTTTTTTTTTTTTGAGATGGAGTCTTGCTCTGTCACCTAGGCTGGAGTTCAGTGGTGCAGTCTCGGGTTCAAGTGATTCTCCTGCCTCAGCCTCCCGAGTAGCTGGGATTACAGGCGTGTGCCACCGTACCTGCCTAATTTTTGTATTTTTAGTAAAGACGGGGTTTCACTATGTTAGCCAAGCTGGTCTAGAACTCCTGACCTCAGGTGATCCACCCACCTCGGCCTCCCAAAGTGCTGGGATTACAGGTGTTAGCCACCGCGCCTGGCCTCCAGCCTTGAATTTGAATTCTGCTTCTGACATCTATATCTCATGTGATTTTTAAAAAATGAACTTTTTGTTTTGGAATACTTTTAGGTTTATAGAACAGTTGCAACAATGGTACAGAAAGTTCCATCCACCCCTTTTACAACTTCCCCCATTGTTAGCGTCTTACGTGACTACGGTACAGTAGTCAAAACTAAGAAACCAACACTGGTACACTGCTATTAACTGAACTCCAGACTTGATTCGGATTTCACCAGTTTTCCCACTAATGTCCTTTTCTGTTCCAGGATCCAATCCAGGATCCCACATTGCATTTAGTTGCCGTGTCTTACTCTTCTCTGGTCTGTGACAGTTTCTCAATGTTTCCTTGGTTTTCATGACCTTGACAATTTCAGAAGTTCTGGTCTGTGGACTATCCCTCAATTTGGGTTTATCTGATGTTTTTCTTATGACTAGCCAGGAGTTATGGGTTTGGGGAAAGAATACCACAGAGGTAAATAAAGTGCGTTTCTCATCACGTGATGCCAGGAGGCACGTGATGTCCATGTGGCTCGTCTCTGGCAATGCTAGCCTTGATGACTTGGTGAAGGTGGTGTCTGCTCTGGGGCCCAGGCTGGAGTGCCGTGGTGTGATCTTGGCTCACTGCAAGCTCTGCCTCCCAGGTTCATGCTGTTCTCCTGCCTCAGCCTCCTGAGTAGCTGGGACTACAGGCGCCTACCACCACGCCTGGCTATTTTTTGTGTTTTTAGTAGAGACGGGGTTTCACTGTGTTAACCAGGATGGTCTCGATCTCCTGGCCTCGTGATCTGCCCACCTCGGCCTCCCAAAGTGCTGGGATTACAGGCGTGAGCCACCGTGCCTGGCCTCTTTCTCTCTCTCTTTCTCTTTCTTTCTTTCTTTCTTTCTTTCTTTCTTTCTTTCTTTCTTTCTTTCTTTCTTTCTTTCTTTCTTTCTTTCTTTCTTTCTTT